CTAAGCAGCCCATCGTGACAGAGAAAGTCCTACCTGAGAGGTAGGATTTAAACCAATTAAGGGCAGATTCCTTGATGCCTATAACATGTTCCAGTCTCTCTAAAATAATTTTATGGTCTACCATATCAAAAGCAGCAGAGAGATCCAATAACATTAAAATGACAGGGCAACCAGACTTTGTCACTAATGTTATTTGTGTTTAAGTAGGCCTGTAGTTGGGAGAGGACAGCTCTCTCTAATATTTTAGATAAAAATGGAAGCTTAGAAATTGGCCTATAATGATCAAAGATGCCAACATTGTCAATGTCCTTAATGCTAATATCCAGGCCATATGAGAAGACCAGATCCAGCATATGGCCTTTTACATGCGTCGGTGCACTCACCCATTGTGTAAGGTTAAAAGAGTCAGTTAAAACAAGGAAATCATTGGCTAAGAAGTCCCCCTTAGTGTCAGGGTCCTGGGTCTGAGCGACCCAGGAACCCTGAGCAGTTATGGACTAATATTATAATATATATTTTTATTGCTGTCCCTCGTTATCCCTGCTTGTATGTGTGTGTGTGTGTGTGTGTGTGTGTGTGTGTTGTGTTTCTGCGGGCGCCTTCAGGCCTGGTGGGTGTGGCCCTGCTGGCGGACTGGCCACACCCGAAGCCACACACCTGCTGCTGATCAGGCCTCGTCGGGGGAGCTACTTAAGAGAGTCTTGGAGCTCCCACCGACACGGGATCATTTCGTGAGACTTCCCGTCAGTTCTCCAGCTGGTCTGTTTGTGAGTGTGAGCTTACCAAGTGAACTGAGGGTACTAACTACTGCCTCTATTTTCCCAGGAAGGATTGCTGGATGAGAGGGCAGCAGACACAGAGTGCACTGGCACGAGGGAGCAGACACGGAGTGGAAGTCGGGAGCACACGGGGATGTATTATTGTTGTGTATCAGTTCCATCACTGTGAATAAACGCACTGCTTGTACATAGAGCACCGCGCCTCGGTCCTCCTTCCCCACACCCCCCACGGTTTGCCATGCTGAACCGTGACACTTAGAGGAGATATGTATATTAAAATCACCAGAAATAAGAACACATCATAATTTAAAAACAGATAACCTAGAAACTCCGCAAATTCAGAAATAAAAGACTATTTGTACTTGGGTGGCCGATAAATCACAGCGCAGAGAACATAGTGGGACCAGTCAGTTCCAATAATTGAGCCTCAAAGCTAGAGAAAGTAGGAGAAGGCAGTCGCCGAAGTTTAAGTTTATTTTTAAAACCATGGCTATGCCTCCACCCTTGCCCGAGAGTCTCAGTGAGCAGAAAAGAACACAGTCAGCAGGAAGGAGTTCAGAGAAGGAGAAAAGTTCACCAGGACAAATCCAAGTTTCAATCAGGAATAAAACATCCAGGTGCAGGGTGAGAAAAAGATTGTTTATGATGAAGGTTTTACTCACCAGCGATCTTGTGTTTAATGCCATCCAGCTCTTAGTCACCTCGTCCCACTCAGAAGCACGTCTCAGCGTGCTAAGGTGCCTGCGTTGAGCACGAGTCCCTGAGGTCCCAATCCAGGTCCGAAGCGGCGAGTACAAGTCTAAGAGGGCAGATTCAGCGATGGCTGAGCAGTTTGAAGGATGGCCGGCGGTGGGAGGTGAATAGAAATTGCATGTCCAGGAAGAGAGAGGAATTGCTTACCACACTTCCTGGAGCGCCTCTCAAACAGGGAAGGTGGAGGTAGGCAGAAAGTTCTCGTAGACGGGCAGGTACGTGGCACAAGAGCTACACAAGTCCAAGTGTAGCTCCGGTTCGTGGAAGAGAGGTGGCCGGAGATTTATCAAAGTTAGCCGATCATATGTGATTAAAGCAATGTTCTCAGAGAGGAACGAAACCAAGACAAGAATAAAAAGAACACAAATGTCAAAATAAAAAGTGCGAAAACAGAGATGAGGGTAAGATGAGGTAGGAGGAGGACGGCCTACCGAGCACACTGGCGCCATCTCTTCTTTAGTTGGTGATTAATGGATGAAGGCAGTAATACATTAAACTGCACCTGTTATGCTGAAAAGGTGTGAGCATGTGCAGTAACCCAGTAAGTTACCTGAAAATATCTCTCTCTCTCTAAAATTGTCATGGTTCTGGGTCGGTGACCCAGTGTTTTTGATTTTTGTACTCTTATTTTTGATATTATGAATTATGACAGTTTGTGTTTTGGTTTCCCAGTGTTTATTCTGTGCTCCCTCTGTTTTCCGTCGTCCCTGCCTGTGTATCCCCTGTGGTGTAGTCAGGTCTCTGTGTTAAGCCCGCGTCTCTGAGTCTGTCTTTGTGTTTGTGTTTCCTGTTTTATTTTTGAAAGTCCGAGTCTGATCTCAGTGTGTTCAGATTATGCTTCCTTGTCTCGTCAGTTCTGATTTCCCCCAGCTGTGCTCTCCTTCTGTGTCTCATTCCCCTCGTTACTTCCCAGTGTATTTAAACCCTGTGTTTGTCTGAGTCAGTGTCGCATCGTCCTTCTTGCTGTGTGGCGCTCCCTTTGAGTTTTAGTTTGTTATTCTTCAGTTTAGTTTGTATGCTTTTTCCCTGCCAGCCAATAAAGCTGTGATTTTGAGTTCATCCCTCGAGTCTGTGAATCCTGCATTTTGAGTCCTTGCCTTTGCCTGCCACACAGTGTTTCGTGACAAAACTACTCAAATCTGAGCTAAATGCAACATTGGCAGCTTTTCCAGACCACATTAAATGATCACACTGCAGACTCTGACATATTTGGGTTTAATGTCAGGGGATGTTTGTGGATGAAAGTTATGATAGATGAAATTTTTGGTAGGACACATGATGTGGACAGTCTGGCAATCCCAGAATATTTAAACTCCAGACAGCTGTAGGGAAAGTTTCAGATTAAAAGCCCTGGAGTGTTTTACATGTTATTCTGTTGGATTAAATCTGATGGAGCTGATTCATAAACACTTCACTGCCAGGTATCAGGTGACCTGCAGAGACTGATCCTACAAACACTCAGAAACAGAGTAAACCAAACTGCACCACAGTGATCAGACGAAACCTTCCTGACATGAACACAGCTCCTCAGTAAAAACTGTGAACCAGCAGAGAGACTACACCCAGCACCATACACCACCTCTCTGACACAGTACACCCTCGGGCAGGTGGTGTCCCCATAAACAGTCTGAGCTCTAATTCACGCATACATTGTCCAATCTGGACTAAACGTGTGGCTGCACTTTTTAGCACTGGAGGTTCCAGCCTCAATTCATTAAGAGCAACAGATTCTGATGTTGCTAAACTTAAATGTGCCCACTGTACACTTTTTTCCCCTCAAAAATCAACACTGTTTCCATCTCATTGAGTAACATGCTGAATTAGCTGCTAGAGGATTTGGGATAATCTTTTTCTTAATTTTAATTTTAGACGTGATTCTCTTTTTATTTATTTTTTCCTATACAGTGAGGGGTGAAGTGGTGTGCAATGAGGCAGAGGAACTGGAGATGCCATTGGAAAGATATATCGAGGACGTCGAGCAAGCCTTTACAGGGAGAGAAAACTCCAACACCTACAACTTCACTTTGACACCTAATCCCCCAGGTCACAGTTCCACTTTGACATATGAGAAGATGCAGAAGGATATCTCAGTAAGTGCTGCATGTCTAACTCATGAATGAGTTAGACCTAATATCTCACTATGACACCCAGATAGCAGTGGGTTAGATAAACAGTGTAGTGTGGTTAAGCTGGCCCATTTTTGGCCCATTTTGAGTCGACTTTTCAGTCGAGCGACGGTTTTGGGATCGGCCCGAGTTTCGCTTTAATCGTGTGTTGTGCATCGTGTAGTATACATGGGGTAACGAGAAGCGACTAACACCTCACGACGAGCTCCCGATCAACAATTGTATGGTTGCAAGAAAATCAAACCTGTTTGAAATCCTGTCGCCCGTCGTGATGGTATCAAAGCAACCTCTCACACTGCACACGCGCAAACACAGAAATGAAAGTGAAAAAGACTTATTTAAATGTCAGCAAGCCTTGTATTTTGACTTTTGCACTACTTTTCTGCAGGTTAAATGAAACTACCATGTTTTCTGGTTGTCATGGTTCCTCAGTGTATTTTTTTGTCTTTTTGTGGTTACTGTGTATCTCTGTAGTGTGCTTATTTTTGTCTCTTTCTTCATATTTTGTGGTTATTTGTTGTATTTTTATGAATCTTTTTGATTTGTTTCTTGTATTTTCAGTTGCTCTTTGTCGTTTGAATCTTTGTTCTTGGTTTGTGGCTTCACATTTATTATCGATTAGTGGCTTTATGAAGTATGACCTTTAGTATATTTGCACTGCTGGTGTTTCATATTTCGACAGACGGAGTGATGGTATTTGGCAGTTGACTGAGTAATGCTTCTGTAAAGGTTCACTGTGTGAATACACGTACAAGATTTAGACACAGGGCCTATGTTCTCATCGTAGTTGTGAAAAAAATGGAAATGTTGAGTGCTTCCATAACAGCAAAAGGGAAATGAATCTATGTTGCAATTAAAAAAAAAAAAAATGAAAGTACCATGTGTCAGTTTACTGACGTGTGCAGCAATGTGTTATTAGAGGTGACCAAGGCTTTTCTTCCACAACAGAGAAAAGCCCAGTTATTCATCTGTCATAAGGTTTTGAGTCATAACATGAGCCTTCACTGTAATGTCTCCCTATTTCTGCTCCTGTCAAGCTCTGCTGATTGCCCAGAAATGAGTCTCACACTTGGAAATAGTCAACCACTTCAGGGTGCACCTAACTTTAGTATTTTAGATGGTATCTTTGGACACTGGCTGCATTTTCTCTCCTTTTCACTCCTTCCAGTCCTTGTATCTGACTATTTGCGCACCCAGTTTTATCTGATCTCAGAAGCTGAGCAGGGTCAGATGGGTGAATACCAGGTGCTGTAAGCTATTATGCAGCTGTGGTTTAGGTAGTAGAGCGGGCCGTTTACCATTCCAGCGTTTTGAAGTATTCCTGAGCAAGATACTGAAACCTGAGTTTTGAGTGTGTGAATATTAGATAAGGAGCTTGTGTACAGAAAGCAGCATGTGGATGAATGTGTGTGTGATTGGGTGAATGAAGCTTGTAGTAAATTGTGCTTTAAGTGCTCCAGGTAGAAAAGTGCTATGTAAGTATCAGTCCATTTACCATTTCTCAGGAAAATTGTATTTGTTTGTTTGTTTGTTTGTTAAGCCACTCCTTCCATTTCTGATGAGGCTTTAAGAAACAACACATTAAATTGTTTCTATGTTTAATTTAGTTTTTTTTTTGACACCCTTGAAAATGTGCATAAATGTGCATAATATAATGTTATTATGAAGGTTGCCGGTTCGATCCCCAGCTCTGTCTGTCCTGGTCGTTGTGTCCTTGGGCAAGATACTTCACCTACCGCCTACTGGTGCTGGCCAGAGGGGCCGATGGCGCGATATGGCAGCCTCGCTTCTGGGCAGCTGTGGCTACAACTGTAGCTGCCTCCACCAGTGTGTGAATGTGAGGGTGAATGAATGGTGGAATTGTAAAGCGCTTTGACTGTCTAGAAAAGCGCTTAATAAATGCAATCCATTATTAATATTATTAGTTGTTAATGGGAATACATCTTAGATTTTTAGTGTTAGACTATTAGTTGGGGGGATGAAGGAGAAATGCAACATTCACTCTTCTTGGTTGTAAATTTGGAGTAAGTGGGGACCAGTCCTGAAATAAAAGTGTCTAGCTGTTAATTTATGTGAATCAGTGAGTCAGAGTTCCAAACAGTACTGTTGCTATGATGACATTGGAAACCTGTTGCTCTCAATATTTTGTGTCCAGCTGGCCTGCTGGTGCCTAAAACCAGTCAACAACATCCAGTTTGATTAGCAGCTTTACAACCTACTGCCCCTCACATAAGCCCTCAGGTAACAGTTGGAGGTAGGCTTATGATGACTAAGAGCACAATACTAACTCAGTGAATACAAGGAGAAGATAACTAGAACGTTTTTCCCAGAGCGTCTTAGAAAAGCCATTTTCATTTCAATGTGTAATATTTCAGTCACATGTTATTTACTTACCATTTGTAAGAGTTGATGAAGTAATAGCTGGCAAAGGTTAGACACAGAAAAAACTGAAAGTGTGGAAATGCAGGAAGGGATAAATTACTGGTTTGTCTATTCAGTAGAAATTGCAGTTCCTCAAATGTTCTGCGAGTAAATAGTGAAATGTAAAGTCTTTCACTTCAGAGAAGAAAAGATTGTCACGTAATTCTCCCTTCATACAACCCGAACAAGAGCCGAATTGTGACTGTAACTCACCACAATTGGCTTTGTTGATACTTAAAGTTGCGTTGTGGCTGTGTTGATTGAAACACAGGGGAAAACTATCCTTAAAGAATAAAACACTTTTTATTTCTTTTGTTTGTGCCAGGATTTAAAGATGCTTTTTTATGCTGTGAAGCTGAGTATTTTTACATTGTAGTTTGTGGGTAGTTTACGCTGGCATCAAATGATTAATCCAGGAACTGCTACTTAATTAAAACAGTACGTGGAGGATAGTATATCACCATTTGGTGTTGATTTTCTGCTGTTTATCTCTCTTATCCAGTCTGGAGACACACAACTATTACTCCCCCCATGAAACACAGTTATTTAGGGAGCTGTGGATCACAGGGGTCAGAAGTTAGAGCTGATACCCACATTTGTGCTCCATGTCTTTGTGTGGATGCAAACATGTTTGACAGAAACGTTTGTTCCCCAGAGGCCACTGATCACTATGCTTGTGATATGAGTGAGATGGCCCATAACCTCAAATTAAGTCTAAACAAAGTAGTTAAACTTTAATACTGTCAAATCAGACAGTTTTGGTTAGAGTTTTATTTCATTCTTTAAGTTTTCACTCTCTCTGATAGCCTTTCTTTAGTATTTAACCTCTCAAAATACATTTAGTAGTTCATCAGTAATGAAATACTTGGTAGTAGGGCTGTCATGTTATGATATGGTTATGACAGCCCAAAGATCTTATCAAGAATATCAAATCATCTGTCAGTTATTTTGGATAAATACGTTATGAACATGTGCCAGTAATACAGGTCCATGAGAACACCACAGCTTGGTAGTTGTAGCTCTAAAAACATATATTTAGGTCACAAAGACTGCCTTTACAAAACTAAACAAGTCAGTTTGTTTGGTTGATTTTTTTACTCCTTTCTTCCAGTTCAGGCTGGGCTCCGTTCTGCTGAAGGCCGTCCCAGAGCCAGCAGAGGCAGTGAGAAATTTACTGATTCACAGTCTGCAGAGGGGAAATAACCTGCAGCACCACAACCAGAGACTACAGGAGGAGAACGAGAGACTTCGAGGAGAACAGCAACACATCACTGCAGAGTAAGTACATGCATGGATGAACACACATGCATACAAAATCACAGTAAAGTCAACTTTACACCCAAACCACACAAACTGTGGAAGGTGCGAGTATGTAATCATGTGCTAGCACATAGTGCACAGAAAATACAGGAATATTTTGGTCCACACCAAAACTGTTGCTTTGTCTTCCTGTCACTGCGCACTCTGTTTCAGATGTTTTGTTTTCTATCCTTGGCTCTATATAATGTCATAAAGTGTCAGCATTTTTAATATGATCATCTAGTTTAGTCCATGTTAAATGGACTGTAATTTATGTTTTGTTTTGTTTTTTACTCTCAGCCTTTTACACTAGTAGACTGTTCTAAATCCTGAGTCACCATAAACATTGTTATATTTGAAGAGGCTGAGTCAGGTTTCAAAATTCATTACAGGATAGAAACAGCTCTAGTACAGGTTACAAATGATCTCCTTAGGAATTAAAAGTCCTCTTCACACACTAAGGATAACAATAGAGTTCCACAGGGTTCTGTGCTAGGACCAATTCTATTTAAAATATACATGCTTCCCTTAGGCAGTATCATCAGAAGGCATGGCATACATTTTCACCAACTTGATCTTTCCATGAAGCCAGATTACACAGACTAATTAGTATATTTGGGTTTGCTAAAGAACTTTTTTGTTTCTGTACATTCAAGACTGAAGCGTTACGTTGGTGGTAAGGAAGCCCTGGAGGCAGAGCTTTACTCTCGGTTTGTCCTGGTTCTGAATGAGAAGAAAGCAAAGATCCGCAGTCTACAGCAGGATGTCACAAAACTGGAGGAAATGAGGTGCACTGCTTATACCACATTGACTCTCAAACACTGAAGCTTTTCCAAATGTTTAAAAAGTAGATTTTTAGCTGTGAGTTTTAAGGCAAGCGTTTTTTTAAATGAAATATATGCCATAATTGCTTATTAAACAGGTCAAGGGTATTTTTCCTTAATTACAACATTCCTCTGATTTCTTTGTTGTAAAAGTTATGTTAAGCAGTCTGAGTGAATCATGTGTAATGTATGGTTTCTGATACAGGAGTAATGACCAACGAAAGAAAGACTCAGTAAAGTCAGGTCAGACAAGAGGTCAGGATGATGGTGTTGAAGCGGATGATTATGGTGGCAGTACTGATGAGGACCCAGTGGAGACGCAGTCGACTCCAGCCTCCAGTTTGGGTAAGACTGGTGACACTGGGGAAAAAACAATTAAGTACAATTTTGTCAAAACATCAAAACAAATTGCTAAAAATCAAACTGGGAATCATTGTTGGTGAGTTTTTAGCTGCTTTTCAAAATGACGTCACTTCCGGTTACGGGCAGGTCATGCGGTCATGTGATAGTTCACGCTGATGGACGTAGGAAGTGTTACGAACAGCTGGTCGGATCGGCAAAGCGTGTTTCTGGAATATTATGTTTTTGTTGCTGCAAGTGATTTTTATGCAGTTTTTGCAAAGCTATATATGGAAGGAAACTGTGACCTAGGACAAGCTGATGGCATAAGACGTAAGTACAACTCCTCCGCTTTCATATGCAAAAAAAATTATTGCGCTAGCTTACCTGGTTGCAGTGCTACCGGGATTTAAAAATAGTTACGCAAAATGGAGCGTGTCCGCTCCGACCGGCTCTAAAGGGTTAATCTCTTAATTAATCTCTTAAATTAATCACCAAACATTCTTGTTAAACCATTACTTTGAGGAGGTACTTGTGCTCCTTTTGTCATGACCAACTTGTTTTAGTTCATAAATAGATGTCACGATATTTTCCTTGTGAATTTACTGAAAGATTCCTAGCTTTTAATATCATTGATGGTAAGCTTTTCTGGTTTAGTGGTAACTAAACAGGTAGAAACCATAATACCACCACAATGTTTTACAGATGTAATTATGCCAAATTCTGTTATTGTCTTTTCTCCAAACTGAACACTTATTTAAAGTAAACATGCTATTTTGGCCACATCCATCCAGAACATTGTCTCGTGGCTCATCGATGTCATCTTTAGTAAACTGTAGATGAGTAGCAGCGTTCTTTTTGGAGAGCAGTGCTTTCTCCTTCTAGCCCTGCCCTAAACACCAGAGAACCTCAGGGCCTTCAGAGTTACCTTGTCTTCCTTCGTGACCTCCCTGACTCACGTAGAGGGTAATGCCGATCTTCAAGTCATTTCGTTGAATAAAAACAAGGTGCTCACCTGTACTGGATCATCCCATTGATTAAAAGGCCTGACTCTAATTTCTGCTATAAATTTGCTGGTAATCCTACAGGTTTGCATACTTTTTCTCCTCACTCATATGTATTCTCAGGAAATATTTTATTTCATTTCTTTTACTGGTTTCAGTTTGTCTACTTTTAGATCTTGCACATATATTATTAAATATAAAAAAAATCATGAAGCCATGTCCATTTTAATCTGAGTCTTACTTACATATTTTTGTGCTTTGGAGTTTGGCGGAGAAGTGCTTTTACCGTTTTTTGTTTTTTTTACTTTGCTAGCTGATGGAAAACACCTGCTAAGATGAGTGTGACATGTCACTGAGAGCAGGTCTGAAACACCACCACCTTCACATTTATTGCTCTAAAGTTGGCAAACCAGCAAACGTTGGGCATTTCCACACTTTGACTTGTCAGCTATGGCTTAAAATACATCATTGGGAGCTGTTGTTGTGGGAGCTAAGTGTGTTTGGACTATCAAGAGACTTTGTTTTCCTACTCAGAAACTAACCATGACCTCAGTTAGCAGTTATGCAATGCAGAGTAGTGTGCGTCCATGTAATGACTTCAATAAACACCTTTAAATGTGTGGTGGAAGCAGGGCAGACAGCAGTTCCGGAAGCCTCGGTGTATATCCCCGACTCCATTATTGAACAGTCATCAGCCTTTCCCTTGCCCAGTGGTCTGCTGGTGTTGTTAACCTGCCAGCTAAGAAGCCCTGTTAACTGCCAATCATATTAAAAATGAAACCAATCACAACGTTGTTGTCCCTTCAGGCTGTGTGCTAGCCAACATTAATGCCTTAACCTGAGTCCTACATACAGAACAAATAGAGAAGGTGCCAAAACCCTCAGACCAGTCAGAAGATCGTACTCAGTCTAAAAAGATCAGTTTTGACTTTGGAAGTAACTTGTCTGCTGAATGGAAAGATTGTGTCACAAATATGCTTAATTCAGTGCCAGAACTGTTTTCACAGCATGAGTTAGATTTTGGACAGACAGAAAAAGTACACCACCAAATAAAGCTTAGTGAGGAAACGCCTCCAAGAACTACTCGACATTGGAGTGATACGAGAATCTGAATCTCCTTTTGCCGCCCCAATTGTAGTTGTCAGGAAAAAGGACGGGTCTGGTAGTTTGTGCATCAATTAAAGGAGGCTAAACCTCTAAACCATAAAGATGCATACACACTTCCCAATCTAGAGGAAGCATTTTCAGCTCTGGCAGGGTCAAAATGGTTCTCAGTCTTGGATCTCAAGTTCGGATACTATCGGATTGAAATGTTGGAGTCAGACAAGCAGAAAATTGCCTTAATGTATCCCTTTGGGTTCTGGGAATTTAATAAGCATTTCAAAGGCTCATGGAGCGGTGTATGGGTCTGATGAATCGTAAGGAGGTCCTCGTCTTTATTGATGATCTCATTATTTTCTTGTTATCCCTCGAAGAGCATGAGCAGTGTCTGAAGAGAGTCTTGTTGAAATTGAAAAAGTTTGGCTTGAAATTAGCACCCGGCTGAGATATTTAAATATCTCAGTTAAGTACCTCAGCCATATAGCATTAGAGTATGGAGTCGAAACAGATACAGAGAAAATCAAAGCCCTCACAACTTGGCCCATCTCCACCAACTTTAAGGAGCTAAGGATCTTTTTTGGGCTTTGCTGGGTATTAGCGGGGATTCATCCAGGACTACTCTAACATTTTAAGGCCATTAAATGAGCTAACCGCCGGTTACCTACCAATAAACTGAAAACATGGTTTGATAGAAATAAGCTATCATTAAATTTGGAAAAAACTACATTTATGTTATTCGGAAATTGTAAAAAAGATGCAGGAGCAAAATTATTAGTAAACAATGTTGAAATAGAGCAAGTTTCGGATACAAAATTTCTGGGTGTGATAATAGATAACAAAATCTGCTGGAAACCTCACATAAAGCATA